AAAGCCGAGGAACGCAATTGCTGGGTTGTATTGTGGTTGTGTATTTAGTTTGTCAAGAAACTGGCAAACTCTTTCCTACACAGGCTGTGCCGTTGCACCTGCCCACCAGCAAGCAGTGTGTGAGCGATCTAGTTTTTCTGCCTCCTTACCAGCATTTTTTTTGGTCATTTTTTTGGTATTTGCAGGTTGCTGCCTCCCCCATTTCCAAGTCTAGGATCTATGAGGCAAAAAGAAACCCCAGGGCACTCCACACTCTGTGGTTCCTCCATTCCCTGGCTGGTCTGTCTTCTCCTCTCCGTCTGGCAGAGAGAAACCAGGGACTTCCCGCTGTGCTTACTGGGAGGATAAGGAAACGTTCATATTCTCCATCTTTCTGGAAGCAGAAGTCATGTTCTCTCTAAAAGCCAGTCTAAGAAGAAAAAAAAAAAACATTTCAAGGAAAGGGCTCAAGTTCAAGCTGAGGATTTCAATGTGAAAGGCCATAAAGCTCTCACTGGGGGGATCCCCAGGCAGACCCACCACCTCCTTGCATTGAACAGGAGGCGCTTACCCTCAGTTGCTGTCCAAGACTCGAGACCCTGCTGCACCTGAGAAATTAGGGAGGCAGAGGTGAGCGTCTTCAGAGACGTCAAGAGAAAATGCCACAGGGCAGAGGAGAGAGTTCTCCAACCGTGTGTCCTCCGTCCAGAGTGCTTTATGTTGGGTAAAGAGGTACTGACGGTTACCCGCCTTCTTCAGAGGAGAGCCATTGTGTCAAGTTTTCCCTGCCGGCCACCTAGACCCACGGGGACCACCTGACCGTCTACCAATTCATCCCCCCTTCCGCTCACTCCACCGTGTTCCATTTTATTTCCCGGAAGTTCAGTAAATGTTCCCTGTGTGTCTAGCCTGGGCTCTCAGAGAAGAACCATTGCCTGTTGCTGCCTGCCGGAAACACCCATCCGGGAGCTGGTGGTGGCCTAGAATCCGGCCCTTCCGCTCACTCTGAGGAGCGCTGGGAGCCCATGGGCTGTGGGGCCAGAGGGACTCAGAGCAGCTGACCCAGCCTGGACACCAGGGGCCTTCCAGAATAGATGGCTCCCCTGCCCCCACACATCCGTTTTGGAGGACTTCACCCATTGTCTAATTCACCCTCTGTGCCCTCATCTTCATTTTTTCTCTTGCAATCGTCACAGCTTGAGGCATAAGTTGCAGTTATTGGTTCATCGGTATCTTTGCTTGGTTTTTCCTTGCTCCCCTGCTCGAATGTCAGCTGACTGAGGACAGGGCTGCGTGCGCCTCATTCACCTCTATATGCGCACTGACGGTGGCCATGTGACACGCCTGGTAGACGCTTGATAAACAGCTTCTTTCCTAATTCTTATGCTATCACAGGCAGATCCCAAACCTTGCAGGGATTCAAAAGTCCAGTCCAGTTTAAAAACTTCCATCTCGGGACACCTGGGTGGCTCAGTGGGTTAAGCAGCTGCCTTCAGCTCAGGTCATGGTCCCAGGGTCCTGGGATCGAGCCCCGCATCGGGCTCCCTGTTCAGCGGGGAGTCTGCTTCTCCCTCTCCCTCTGCCTGCCTCTCCCCTTGCTTGTGCTCTGGCTCTCTCTCTCTCTCTCTCTTTCTCTGACAAGTAAATAAAATCTTTTAAAAAAATAAAAACTTCCATCTCGTATCCATTTTTACATTCATCCCAGTTTTTTCTGGAATCAAGCTCTGACAGGACCTTGGACTTACCATCTGGAGGGGGTAGGATTTACTCTTTTACTTCTTCTCCTCTGCCATCAGGCGTGTGCATTCAGGGAGGAGGGATCGAGAGAAAAGAGCTCTAGTCTTTTTGCCTTTTGGTGCTATTGTCCTCTCTTGACTCACTGCATTTCTTTGTGTTGTAGGCAACCACAGACGACTCTCTCTGGGGCAGAGATGGGGCCTTCTCTGCCTTAAATTTCCCTGAGGGAACTCTCTACTTTCTGCTGCTTTGGGGGCTCGTTCTCCTGTACCCCACCCTCGTGGTGAGGGACAGCAAGGCTGCTCCAGCCCAGAAAACTTCCACAGCACCGACTCCTTAAGTTGGCACTCAGCACGTCCTCAGTCCGGCTCAGGGTGGCATTTCCCTAACCACCCTAACTGTCATACCCCCTCCACCTTAGTGGAACTGAATAACCTCACCGCAAACCTTCCCCAGCCCTAGAAGATCCTCATCTTCTCTACATTTTTCATGCTCTTATCTCCGGCTAAAATCCCTCCCCTACCTCCACCCATCTCCCTGTGACAGGCTCCATGGCCAAGGGCAAACACGGCTTCATCCTCGGGCCTTCCCTTCCCTTAACTCCAGTTGTACTCAGCCCCGGGGCACATTGGAATCCCCCCGGGATTCTGCAGACCTCCAGAAATTCTCGTTTCATTGGTCTGAGTGGGGTCTGGGCAGGGGCATTGGCTTAAACACTGCCCAGGTGGTTCTAATATGCAGTCCAACTAAATGTCTGTGGGCCAGAGGGGCTCACTTGTCTTTTACTCAGAGGATGGTCCTCTCTCCCAGCCTTTGTCCACTATAGACCGGCAGCAATAGGAAGGCCTTGTGGAATGGCTGTCATTCACTGAATGCTTACCAGGTGCTATGCCTTGTCCTGCGTCCTGTAAGTGGACTCTCCCATTTACTCCCCCCACGACTCTAAGGGGCAGGTGCTACTCATTATGCTCCTTCTGTAGATGAGCCCACCGGTGCATGGACGCACGGATGTTAGGGAACATGCCCAGGACTGCACAGGTATGGCTGGTGGAGCAGGGAGTAAAGTCTGGGCTACTGGCCCCAGAGCCCGGGCTGATACCCTGTGGTCTCTCTGCAGTTTGGGCCCTAGTTCAAGGTTCCCCCTTAGCTACCGAGCACAGATGAGGAAATGAGTGAATGGAAATGACTTGTCCTAGGCCACACCATAAGTCAGACCCAGTGGGGCATTTCTCAGACTTATTCCTTATACCACTTTCATAATGGCTCATTTTCCAAAACACTGGTTTGATTATTTATGTAGTATTTTTTTATTTCAAATTTTATTTCAAATGTTCTTTGTACTCAGCTTCACCTAAGCAAAAATATCCATTGTACCATAGGTTTGATGTTGGGAATATTTTTCTAAAGCACATTGGAACAATAAATTTGTGTGTATATACACGCACCTGTGGGTACACCAGCACTCAGTTGCTATAAACAGAATTTTCAGCCGTCCTTCTGCCTTAACAACGTGGATCTGAATTGTATCTTGAATTTTAAAAAAAGTTCAACGCATATTAGAATCTGTTTTTATTTTTTTTAAGATTTTATTTATTTTTGACAGAGAGAGAGAGAATGTGTGTGTGTGTGTGTGTGTGCATGAGCGGGAGGGAGGGGCAGAGGGAGAGGGAGAAGCAGACGCCCTGCTGAGCAGGGAGCCCAATGCGGGGCTCGAACCCAGGACCCTGAGATCATCACCTGAGCTGAGGGCAGATGCTTCACCGACTGAGCCATCCAGGCGCCCTGAGAACCTGTTTTTTTTTTAAAAGAGCCTCTCTTCCAACACAAAACAGGTTTCGCCTGGAATTAGCTAGAAAACCTAACAAGTTTGTTAAGGCCATGGCTTTTAGCTGCTTTTAATTTTACGGAATTCCAGATCTTTTTATGAGGCATTTTGCAAGAAGCGCCTCTCCATTTGGAAAGAGTGCTGGGGCTGAGGGAACCCTGCGGGATACATGTATCATTATTACCGTTTCAAATATTCATCAAAATGTGTTTTTGTATTTTTATAGCCCTTCCACAAAAGCCCCATTTTTAATGCAGACTATTCTGGCCTGGCCTCTGGTGTTAGGCTAGTCTTGTGTACATAACCTATGTGCCAAGTGCGTGCCCAGGAGAACAGAGGTATAGAAACTCAGAGAAAGGAATACATAGACGCTGTGGATGGCAAGACCCAGAAAGACGTCAGTGAAGAATGGATGGGTTTGAAGTAACCTGGCTTAGCTCAGGGTCACGGGCACAGACATGGGGAAAGGAGTACGGGTTTGGAATGCTTCCTACCCTCCTGCGTGAGTTAGAGGAGAACATCAGTCCCTGTATCACATCCCTTGCACCAATAAGCTCCCAGATCCCCGAAACGGAGTTATTATTTTAAAACATCATACTTCTAGGACACCTGGAGTGGCTCAGTCAGTTGAGCATCTGACTCTTGATTTCAGCTCAGGTCACGATCTCGGGGTGTTGAGATCAAGCCCCACATCGGGCTCCACGCTCAGCGCGCAGTCTGCTTGAGGATTCTCTCTCTCCCTCTCCTTCTGCTCCTCCCCCCCTGCTTGTGCTCTCTCTCTCTTTAAAATGGGTAAATAACTCTTCAAAAAGAGTGCTTTTAAAAAAGTTGATAGGAGGGGCATGCCTGGGTGGCTCAGTCGTTAGGCGTCTGCCTTCGGCTCAGGTCATGATCCTGGGGTCCTGGGATCGAGCCCCGCATCGGGCTCCCTGCTCAGCGGGACGCCTGCTTCTCCCTCTCCTGCTCCCCCTGCTTGTGCTCCTGCTCTTGCTAACTCTCTCTCTGTCAGATAAATAAATAAAATCTTTAAAAAAAAAGTTGATATGGTTCTCACTGTGGGGATTGTGGGAAGTCAAATGGAGGCATCTCTGGGGATAATGTGCAGATCATTAGACTAGGTGACCATAAAGTTGGGAAATATTGGCATCAAACACAACCTCCTTGTAGAATTGGGAGAAAAGGGGTTTTGTTTGGGAGGCAATGTGCACTGCTATGTTTGTTACCCTCTGGCTCCAAACAATGTCCCTCCAACTGACTGCAAATGCTGAATATGTTAGAAAGCAGAGGTGGGGAAGGAAGAGTGACTCTCATAAGCTCCTGATTGTTCTGCACACCCGTGGGCAGAGGAAGAATGGCTGGAATTAGAGGGTCAGGGAGAAAGGGGTGCGAAGCAAAAGTTATTACTGTGAGAGTCCACATTCGACCAGTGGCGACAGTGAAAACTCTGTTTTACACCTAGGACATAGTGGACAGCAAGGGGAGAGAAGGACACAAGATCCCCACTGTGAGTTGCTCTGTCCCCGAGGACCCGGAAGAGCTGGAAACTGCAAAGGAGGACCCCCAGACCACAAATACAACCGAGAATAATAATTCCATCATGAGCTTCTTTAAAACTCTGGTGAGTGGTTGTTGCCCCTTCTTTCCTCTTTCCTATTGCTCAAAAGTTGTGTCAATTCTGCGAATAATATATATTTGTTATTGTGCTGGCTGGGGGATCATGATGGTGCAGCTGGAACACTGGAGAAAGGGAAGAGATGTGCTTTGCAAGGGAATTGTGTCACATCGAGCGTTCAGTGAGGGAGCCCCCAGAGCTGGGAGCCATGGTATGAACATCAGGTGCCCCGACTGTGAGACATGAGCTGTGTTGAGATGCCACTCTCCTGAAGTCCCATGTCTAATGGTCATTGATCATAAACATAATTGGAAAAAAGCTCCTTGAGTTGTTGGCCTATCAAAGCAGTTTTGCCTTCAGATGGCAAATAAAACTGAAGAAATTTCTTCCTATCTTGTTACATCAAAATCTACTATGTTGATGGCATAGAGGCAGGGACCAAGTCCTATAATGCTTGCTTGTCTCTGACTCCTCAAGGCAGTCACAGCCTGGCCCATGCCAGACCTGTGAGAGGGCTAAATGAATGAATCAATCAATGAATCAATGAATGCATAATCAGACAGACAGCTCCAAGTGTGTTTGGGTTCTTTCCAAAGCCCAAGACTAGCCTCAAAAGGTAAAAACAAGTCAACAGAATGTGCCACAAACACCAAAGGGGTGTTTGTTTGGATTAGTGGTAGGAGTGATGGAAAGTCTGTGTCCTTCCAAGAGACAATTTTGAGGGTGGTCAGGCTCTTAGTGAATGTATTAAGTCTGATGTATTTCATTATAAAACATTAGTATTTTAAACTCTTTTATACCTAGAAATTATCCAGAAGACCGTGGCTTTCTACTGAACTTGGTAGAACGCCTTTGTACTGAAAAGGACTTCTCATTACATTCTTTACCTGCAGAGTGAACTGCACCACCCCCCCAAAAAAGATATCTCTATGAAATCAAATCACCCTAAAGAGCTAGCTGTGATTTTTAATATTTGGTTTTCTTAAACTTTTAAGGTTTCACCTAGCAAAGCTGAAACGAAAAAAGATCTGGAAGACACGGTAGGTAGTTTGAAGTACGTTCATGTTTGGGTTTGTGTATGGGATTGGATTTGGATTTGTGTCTGCTGCTTTGTTTCTTGAATTGTGTATGTGTGTGTATATGTAGCAATTTAATAGTGCTGTTAAATTGTCTTTAACGTGTTTTGTTTGTGTCAGTGGTATTTTGATGAAAATTTTAGTAGAAAGCTTGAAATATTTACTAACTCTGGATGAACAATTTCACAATCACCAATTTCTTATATAAAATAAGAACAGAATACTACAACCCTATATCACGTTAGTCTTTTTAATTGTGTGTGAAGAGACCCAGGGAATATAGGAATATAGTACAAATTAGCCACTAGAAATGAGAAAGAGGTGAGACACAATTTAAAGGAGAAGTAAACTGCTCTATTTTTGGTTTTTAAAAAATACGTTCCGTGTTTTTCATATAATTTGGAAAAAATAATTCTCCACCACAAAGGCAATTGTTTGGTGAAATGAAATAGTCACCATTGGACGCTTGCCAAGGGAAGGAATGTTTAGAGTTAGGATGCCCTAGAGAGCCTAAATTTTTTCACTGTCATCCTAGAGATCCAACCAATTCCCCTCAGAATAAATTTTATTTGGAACAACTACTTTCTAGAGATGTTTTCCTTTACACTTGACAGAACTGATTATCCTTAATGGAACACATGGTTTAACTTTCACAGGAATCGTGAGGAAAGTTGAACTTGGTGACAGATAAGTGTCTTGCGTCCTTCTTTTGATAACTGAGAGTGCTTTGAAAGACACTGGGACCCAATAAATGGCTTGGCCAGCCCAGTACATCTGTTACCAATATTCGAAGGGGCCAGGTTGGGAAAAGAATCCTAGAATTTGTCTCAAGACCTGAGTTTGAGCTCCAGGCCTGCTTTGTGGTAGCTATGTGACATGATCCAAACCTGTCTGAATCCAAATCTCAACATCTGTAAAGTCGGGACAATAAAAATTCTGTCCCACCACCCCGGCCTTGAAGGAAGGTGTGACAGTGCCTGGTAAACCGTGGAACTCTTGATCGCTATTTCCATAATCACTGCAAGATGTATTGAAGGCCATGATGACATTTGTAGTTATCGATTGCTTCTTCTAGAATGTCCTTCTTCCATTAGAAACAAATATTTATCTGAGGTATCTACATGCATTTTCCTATAAAATTAGTCATCTGCTATAAGGCAGCTAAGGTCAAGTTCAATGAATAGTTGGGTCCAAATGTTTCTCTTTTGATTCTGTTTCTTGCATTGTTTGAAGTCACACAGCACAATAGGCTATAAGCAGTGGGGTATGTGGGTGTGTTGTGTGGCTTCCCAAGTGACCTGATGCGCTCATTCTCTTCAGCTGCTCATGCACCGAGGCGCCAGCTGCACGTACCTAGCTGATAAAATCTCCCCACCCTGCCCAGAGAGGTCAGGGTCACTGCTAGTGGAGCTGAGCCTCAGAAAAGGGTTTTGTGAATGTAGGTCACCTACGACACAAACGGACCTCCTTCCACAAACCTGTGTTTTTAACATCCTTTCAACCAAAGTTCTTGGATTCTTGCTTTTGAAACATTTACACGGTTTGTCCATCTTCCCATTTGGCCTGGACAGTTTTGAGCACACTCCACACTCCACGCAAAATCCCCCGCCATTTGTAACTTGAGTTGACAATTCTGAATGGTTGTTGCTGGGCTGTTGCAGTTCCAATCTCCCCCAACTTTGGCTCAGTGGACGGGCGCACAGTAGACACTTCTCTTGCCTGGGAGATCTGCCCACCTAGAAGTCAGCTGAAATTTTTGCAGATACTGCTTCCCTGAAGTTTCTAATACTGAATAAAAAATGGGTTGGAGAAAGAAAGCCCTCCAGGCAGTGCTTGTCTTGACTCCAGGATGCAAAAATAAATTGTTTTCATGTATCTTTTCCTTTCCCATGAGACAAGAGTGTTTAGATCTTTAAAACGATCAAGTAGGGGCTGTGTTATCTTCTTTTTTTTAATCTGAATATTTTATATCATATAGACGGAGCTTCAATGTCCTGTCATTGTCTTTAGCAAATGGATTTGGGTTAATCTGGGTCATTTAAATAGGTCACCCTATTGAAAATCGACATGTACTCAAAATAGACTGGGAATCTACTATGTCGCAAATTGTCTCTGAGAGTTTAAAAAAGAGAAACATTCACGTGATGTGAATGTTGTGGTTGGGGGATGGGGGTGATATACCAGCAGTTAATGTCAAAGTGTTTCAATGCACTTAAGAACGACAGGGCGGGGGGGAAAGGATTTTGTTTAAAAACAAAGTTCTAAGCTATGACTGCTATTGCCCAAAAGGCATCCAGAGCAGAAAGTGTCTGTGATGGCCAAGCTGGACAGAAGACCTGTGAGAACCAAGCTAAAGGCACCAAGAAAAAGCACCTGCATAACCCCAGGCTAGGATTCGCATTTAGAAAATTCTTTAGGCATAAGGTCTGTATCTTGTTAAATTAGAAAGAAAGAAAGAAAAAAAAGAGAACCCTGGTCTTCACCACGCGTACATGTGGCTGTCCTGGGTCCCCTCAGCTCTGCTTCAGGGAAGACAGCCTTGTGTGGTTGGAATCATGACAGGGAATTAAAAATGACCTGAATCAAATTTCAATGACTCTCTTCTCCATAATTATACATAAACATCTGACTAGTTTCTTCCTAGTGTGGACCAGGGTTCTGAAATTATCCTTCTAACTCAGTGTTTCCCAAATGTCAAAAGTATGCATACCATCTTCATCATGTTTGTCAGATATAGTATTAGTTGGTTGATCTTTTTATATTAAAAAGGACTCATTTCCTATTTAAAGGTATCTCTAAAGAAAACTTTATATTACATGATACGTGGAAAACTCAAGTCATTTTTCATAAAGAGGTAACCATGAATATGGCTAATAGAAAAAATTGCATTCTAGCTACCTTGTTTGTGTCAAGCTCCGGATCTAATGCCTTTCTAGCTTTATTAAAATGCAATTTGCCAGCAATAGAAAAAATGTTAAAGGTGTACCAGCATCAGATAAGCTTTCCCCCCGAAAGTTCTTAAAAAGATTAGATGAGAGTTGGGGGGGGAGGTATTTTCTCCATTTTAATGTTTTTTAGCATTTTATCTCTGCATGACCTAAAATTATCTGTGATACCAATGGTATGCTTTCTACGCTTTGGGAAATACTCCTCTAACCTCAAGAAAATAATTTTATCTTTCTGTGGTCTGTTCCATCCATTCTGAGTCTTAACTAAGCTCATACTGAACCCCAATAAAAATGCACGTACAAGAAAACAATGAATGAAGGCAGAGCAATTTCTATCTCCATGTCCTTGGGAAGTGAGGACAACATAGAAGTCAGTTGGGGAGATTTCTGTCTTTGAACGTCTAAGAAGACACCAGTGTTTGTCTGAAACCAGCAGTTAAGATCCCTGAATTGGGCCAGCATGCTTGGACATTTGTTTAAAATATCCACCACTCTCCACTATGTTGAATGGACTTATGAACAAACAACAACCACCACCTCCCCAGCTGGATGTTAGAGCCCCAGGATTGTGTATGCAAATAAAAAGCTCCATAAAAGATTTCCTGGATGAACCTTTATTTGCATAAACAAACTGTATTAGGAAGCCACCCTTGAATTTCCATACAGGCTTATTTTGTTTTGTAAAGACAGCGGGGGGTGGGGGGGGAGGGATAGAGATTGCAGTTGGTTGGGGCCGGGGCTGGAGATTAAAAAGTGGTGTTACTGTATGTGGGAGACCGTTTGGTAAGTGCTAGTGAAGAGTGTCATAGACCTTGTGCAGAGAAATCCAGCTGAATTCCCACTTGGAGCTTCTGTGAGTCAGGGGCCTTCAAAGTTTACGAAGTGTACGACTTTCCCCCTCATAGCTGCATTTCGGATGGCATTCATTTCATGCACAGCTAAGTTTCATGCCTCCAGAGTCTCTTTCCTCCACAAAACGGGGGCCACCCACGTTCCGTATTCCCAAGGTCTCCCCAGATCACTGGCCTCCACATCCTGCCACTGAGTTACATTTTGGGCAAAGATAGGATTTGGAGAAAATACTGGGAAGAAGAAGTGCCCCTTTCCAGACTTCTAAGGTTTTGCCTTTTAATGTAAAGTAAGAAGATAATTCTCAGATGTTCTCAGTTCTCATTTATGCAGCAGTTTGGTAGAGCTTCTTGGCTTTTACCTCCTTTTTCTTCACTTTATGATTCTGTCATCCAAAAAGATAGGAAAACAGGGCCATTAAAACGGACCAAACAGACTGTTGCCTGGGTAGAGGGGCTGTGCTGCTCATCCTCAATTTTGCTGTAACTTGGACAGAAAAGAGGAAATCCAAGCAAATTCAGGGGGGGGAAAAAAACCATCATCTTCTGGTTTTGCAATTCAAGAAAAAAAATGCAGTGGCGACCAATGGGGATCAACTCCTAAATTCATTGTCTCTGTATCTCAATTTTTCTTCCTATAAAAAGAATTTTCTTAAAAAAATTTTTTTCTTAGTATAAAAAAGTGGGGAGTCCCGGAATTGATAAGTGAAATAAGCTTCTTGTTATAAATAGAGTGTCAGCTTTCCTTTGCTGAATTGGGATCTTTTTCTCTTGGCTTAATCACATGCCATGCTTCAGAATCAAACTCTTTCACATGTTCTTCAAACACTGAACATGACAACATGCACACAGGCAAGGCGTTGATCCCGGATTTTTTTTTTTTTTTTTTTACCATGCCCAGAAAGGCTCGTCTTCCCACTCACGTTTTCCTGATGTCCACCCTCTCTGCAGGGCAGCTAAAATATTCGTAGCCAGCTCATGTGATTACTCAGCTCTGCCTCATATTCATTGTTTTCCACTTCTTGATATAATGTTTACATCTAACTAACCCCTCCCCTCTCCCATGCCCAAATGTGAAACAAGATGAACACTTATTAGGGAAGAAGGTAAAGTCATTAGATCTGCAAACTCCAAATCTAATATATTAGAATTTCCATGGGTAGGGTTGCCAGATAAAATACAAACACTCAGTTAAATTCAAATTTCAGATAAACAGCAAATAATTGTTTAGTATAAATATAAATATGCCCCAGGCAGTTCTGGGGATATACATTCTTAGGCTGAGAAATTATTCTTCGTTGATCTGAAATTCGAATTAACAGGGTATCTTATATTCTTATTATTGAGAATATTGGCTAAATCTGGGAACCCTGTGAGGTTGACTCCAAAAAATACAGAGTCGTTGTAATCTCTTCCATAATGCAGACAAAGAGTATTAATATTCAGTTGATGCCGGCAGAACACCATCTGGGGCACTTTGGGGAGTAAAGAGATGGATGGGCAGGGAGAAAAGACTGTGGGTGGTCTGTGGCTCTATAGCCCACTTAGGAGGGGGAGGGTGGGCAGAAACATAACAGTAGGTTCCTGTGTAGGCATTTCTCTCTGGTCCTTTCTATACAATTATTTAGTTATTTATTTAATGCCTATTTCGTGGCAGACACTGGGCCTGATGGGAGCTACGGATGTAATGGCATCCAAGGCAATGGCTCTTCCTCTCAAAGCTCATGGTCTGGGCAGGGAGATGCATAGTCAACAAACAATTCACCAATATATTACAGTTAGAGTATTCTATATATAATAGAGTTATCTCCTTGTAATGGTTTTCAAGAGTCTCTGGGTATTTTCCCAGCACAAAGAGAAGAGGACTGCCCATTTCCCAATGAAACTGATGAGTGTAGATGGGTTTCTCAGGCATTTTGTCATTATCACCTTCCCAATGTGAAGCTTTTTTAGATATTTTCTCCCTGGATGGATACAATAGCACAAGGAGTGGGGAGACCTTGGTTTGTCGGAGGTGGTGTAGTATAGAGGAGGGGGTAAGAGCTTGGGTTTGGGTATCAGATTCCCCGGATTTTGATGTCAACTCTGCCCCTTTATTAGTGTAGTCATGGGAAAGTTTTTTTAACCACCTGGGACCAAAATTTCCTTCTCTGTAAAATCAACATAATAATCACTTCCTCCTTCATAGAACTCTTGTTAGAACATCCAATTGTTTAAAACAGTGCCTGGCACTGGTATCTTTGATTGTGATTATTAAATCAAAGTTAAAAGTTGGAAACGATGTCCCTTATATTTATTTTAACCCCTTTAATTTCACATTTGGATTAGTAAAATAGTACACGTGTATAATATAAGCAAACCTGCATGTATCAGAGGTGCATGCTCAAACTGTTTTTACTGATGGGAACATCATCAAAACCGTTTGAAGACCAATGGCCTCAACACAAACTAATGTTTCTCACAGGCAAGTGCCTCTTACCAGCACCTTCATTCCTAATGACTTACATGAACATAATATATATTCTTTTGCAAAAGGAAACTATCTTGACTTTTCCAAAATTTTAACACAAATCCACATTCACATAGAATCTTTGCAACTACAGAAAATTATAAAAAAGAAAGTTAACATACGTAACCCCAGCCTATGCTTATTAAAAAAAGAGATCTTTCACTTTTGAAATCCTGAGGTCATTGTAATTTTGTTTAAACTCTAAAGGGTGCTGAAAAGTCGCCAGCCACTTCATCTGACGTCAAGTCAGACAAAGCGAACTTTATATCCCAGGAGAGCAGAGGGGAGGCCAAGAACCCTACATCCACCAACACTACAAAGGAAGCTGCCAAGGAAAAGGGGGGACCCACCTCTCTGCCTCTGGGCAAACTGTTCTGGAAAAAGGTAAGTCCTGTTTTCAAGACTTGCAGAGTAGTTGGAGCTAGGGTGACTGGAGAAATTATTTCAATTGGGCTAATCCATGTGCTCACCAAGTACAGTTTATTTTTCTTCCCCGAAATGACTCAACTATCCATTGAGTTGAAGACTTATAATTTACTCCTGGGAAGAATGCAGTGCCTATGGTGTTAGAAGTATGTGTTTCATGGGAAAGAAAAGGAAATAAACAAGTTGATTTTTTTCATTCTTGGAGTTTCTCCGGCTCATGACAAACAGTTGTGGTATTTCGTGATTTCATTTTCTTTCCAAAATGGCTTAGTACTCTGGCTTCCTCCTGGATTCCTCTGAGTACTGTCTCTTCCAGTGAGCTGAACCACCTCTGGGCTTCCTCTCTCTTTCCCCAGCAAGATATAATCAGTCATTAGGAACCACTACGGCTCACTCTCCTTTTGGAAAACCAAGGTGTCCACCATTCACCACCAGTGCGAGCACACGCTGTGCTCTGTGATAGGAGCATTCAAAACATTGCCTTGTTTTTTTCTACGGTGGCGCACAGGGAGTGCGGTGGGTGGGGCCGAGTCAGTCTGCGAGCTAGTCCTTAATCAGCATTGCTGAGCACACCCCAGCTGCCACACGTGTTCAGAACTCTTGCCTCTTTTAAATGTGGCCAAAAGATGAGCAAGACGTCATGGGTGAGAGAGTGGAATATAATTCATAGAGCTGAAAAAAAAATCTAATTAGTAATTTCATCAGAACTGCCATGCCACTTAGCATTCAGTGCAAGGCAGGTGATAAATACAGATGACCCTACGGTGTTCGTTTTATTCTTTGGTCCAGAATCCAGCTGGATTTCTGGAACTCTTTTCTGTTGGCTTTCCATTGTACAGAAATCTTCCTTCTGGGTTCTGCCCAGAACACAAACTCCAGTACTTAATGAAAGCTTTGGGTGATGTCATTTGGCATTCTGTTCTAATCCTCCTTCCTTCCCAACCACCAATTACTTATTTTTAAAAACCTTTTATCAGCAATATAACGTAGGGAAAAGTTCCCAAGTGAATCACATGTGCATAATGGTGGCCAGGAAGATGACTTAGGCAACCCATATTCAAACATCACTTATTTTAAAAATTATATATATATTAAAAATGCATTAGAAAAACTGACCTAGCACATCAAACTCAAGATTTAATATATATTTTGCCTAAGGTGAAACTATCTATGTTTAGTTTAAAAAGTAATCCAATTAAAAGGAAAGATCACATAATGGATGGTACTGATCTTGAATACATAATCATTAATTCGGATCCTCCAAGGAGGGACACTGTGATGGAATTGATGTGCAATAGATTTATTGGAGGAAAACACCGTGAAGGATAAAGGTGGGGGGTGGCACAGGAGGAGGTAGAGAGAGCCTTCAGGCCACAATAAGGGTCTGACACGGCAGAAGGGAGACAGGGAGGGAAGGAGGAGAAGGTTGGAAAAGCCACCGCCTAAGAGTGGTGCTGAGCCAATGGCTTGGGTCATGGTCCCAGGGTCCTGGGATCGAGTCCCACATCGGGCTCCCTGCTTGGCGAGGAGTCTGCTTCTCCCTCTGTCCCTCCCCCCTGCTTCTGCTCTCTCTCTCTCAAATAAATAAAATATTTTTTTAAAAAATACAAATAATAATAGTACCTCATCATAGAAATGAAGATTTAATGAAATCACGCCCTGCAAAACCCTGAACACCATGCCTCGCACAAAAGTGGCCAATGAATGGTCCTTCCGAACCTATGTCATTTATCTCCTGTGTGCTCGGGCTTGTGGACACGCTAACTATGGCCACCTCTTCATTTCTCCATAGCCTCCAGTCTGGGGAAGCTTCTAAGCTACTAAGCCTCAAATACTTCATCTGTCCTTGTCTTTGGGGTCTCTAAGGCATATATTGGTTCCTCTTTGAAATTCAAGCTATTTCCATTGAGAAAAAAAGACAGGACCACTTGACATTCTTCCCCCTAATGGTCAGATTTCATAGAGTTCAGTCTTGCTGTTTTTTTTCTTTTTCACCATTATCTGGCTTTATTTCCTTTGTTGACTGTAAAAATAATGAAGAGAAGCGAAAACCCAAATCACCCGTAAATCTTGCTTTTCCTTCTCCCACCCCATCAGACAGAACAGCTCTTTATGGAAGTAAAATAGGGACGATGCACTCCTGCAAGAATATTTTCAGTCTCCTCTGTGCTGAGTTTTTTTTGTGTCAAACGCTTTGTGCTAAGGCATTGAAAAGATAACAGCAAACAGCTTGCTACCTTTTTGTAGCTTACATTCTCAAGGGGGGACTTATGTTCTAGTCAAAAACAAAATGAAGACCTTCGTTTTCTTTTCTTTAAGTTAGGTAAGCTTTGGTTATAAAATCACTGTTGTAAAAATTGTAAAAAAACAACGAGAAATCCTAGAAAATTTTGATCTTTTCACTAACCCAAACTCTTTCTTCTCCGCTTTTAACTGGGAAGCTTTTAAACAAACTGACTTTGAAGTGTCTATGTCTACAATATGAACATCAGAAATAAAATTTTCCCCCTCACATGCTGTGGACATGAAATTATAAGTTATTTTGATTTATAGTCTTGATTGTTGAAGTCATTCTTATTATAAAACAAAAATAACACAAATAACCTTTGAGAAAATTAATTCCAATGATGGTGTATTTGCCAAAAAATGTTTAAAAGCCAGTTACCTGGACTCTACATATGCCCCTTATTGTTTTGGGTTCTTTGGGGTACCGTTTGCTCTGTGACCTCACAAAAGTTACTCACCCTGTTTGAGTTTCTTTCTTCATCTGTAGAAGGGTTGGAATAAATGTTCTTGAAAAATTCTGGTACGCGGCAAATCTTGCATAACAGACAGAATCAGAAAGATTGGACTGCATAGCCTTGGACAAACTGCTGGACCACTCCAAGCCTCTGTTTTCTTTTATGTAAACAGGGACACGTTTCTCCCACCGTGTTGTTATGCCAATCCACTAACTGTACACAGAGAAACCCTCAGACATAGTAAGTGCTCAACAGTTTTATCGTTTCTTCGGAAACGAATAGTTGCTGGGTCTGATCTAAATATCCATGTGTGGCATGTGGCTCCAGCATCACCCGAGGTACAAAATGAGTCTAAGACTCATCGCACTGTCGAAACACCTGAAGTCCGTTTGGAGGAACATGCCTGCACGTGCAAGTGTGTATGCGTGCGTGTGCGTGCACACAATTCATAAATGATACATTTGAAATATCTTCAAAATAGTGCCTTTTCTGCTCTCCTTTGGAGGTCACAAATGATGTGGAAAATAACGGGTGCTCTGAAGCCAAAGAGACCCATCATCCAGTCTCAGCTCTGACAGCTACTGGCTGTTTGGATGTGATCAGGTCACTTAAATCCTCCATGCCTTGCTTTCTGCAGCTGTGGAAGCAGGCAGTGACACCCACCTTTCCTGATTATTGGGAGGACGGAGTGAGAAAAATGAATGCAAAGTGACTGGCCCCGTTCCAGAACAAGGATGTTAGAATCCAGTGTTCATGTGTGGACCGCAGGTTATAAATGCTCTGGGTGTTTAAAAAAGGCAGCAGTTGGTGTAGGTCAAAACAGACTAAGAGAACTTTAAAAGTCCTCTGAATCATCTGAGTTCCTTGCTTCAAGTACAGATTCCTGTATTTGATCCCAGAATCCCTGGGAATCCTGGTTAAGGAAGTCTGGCATATGGCCGGACAATTCTGGAAGCACTTGAAAGGCGGGCTGAAATGTCTAGTCTTGAGGAAAAGTATTAGGGCCACTGTGAAGTCAGTGAACACAGAAGAGCTGTCACATGATCAAAATGATGCTTCCAGAAGACCTGCTAGCAGTGGGATGTCTGTTGGCTTAAGTGCTACCATGTGACAGTATTTTAAAGAAACATTCTTTTTAGAATGTGCTCTTCAAAGGACAGGAACCCTTGCTATGGCAAGTTTAGACTGATGCATTTCAGGGGCTGTGTTTCGGTCCTTATTTTCAGCAAACAGGATCCTGCAGTTTCAAACTGAGTTTTTTGTGGTTATCGTGAATGAGGCTGGACAGTTTGTCGACTCAGCATAAAACAGCCAGATGTCCAGCACATCGAAGAAGATTAGAAGTTTCTGGTTTTGAGATTTGAATGGGAATCCCACCCTCTGTGTTTCCTGATTAGCCCCACACCTGATTAGGTTCTTCTGACTGGAGAGCTTGAGAACCCAATAAACACCTTTTGGTCTGCAGAGGTGGGATTTGCACTTGAAAATCCTCGCTGGTCTACTTTGAAGTGAGCTGTGCAAGTGTTGTTCTCATCTCTGAACATATTTCTGATGTGGAAGAAGTCCTCTGCCCTCCTTCTGAGAGCTCATCTATCACATGGGACCCGCCAAGAGTGGAGAAGAGCGGCCTGCAATCTGGTACCTCTGCTTCCTCCACTCGTGGGCTTTCTACAAGGTGGGAAACATAAGGAGAAAAGGCAGAAGCTGCCCGAGGCCTTCATTTGTCATTTTGTGTTGAGCATGGACACCACGCTGGGTGCAGGTACACATGACATGTGAGATCCAGGCTTGGCTCAAAGAATGGGTTCAATAGAAATACTGTTGATGTATGGTCCAAGCTGAAAATTTCATCTAGAGAGAAAACAAATCTGGTTGCGAAGAGAGAAGCTCACACAGTTACTAAAAGATGTGTTTCTGACCCTTGAACTCATCATGGCAGGGGAAAAACTTGGCTCTTAAAGCCGTCTCCACCACTTCCTAGCTGCACCAACTTGAACAAGGGATTTTACCTCCCTGTATCTCCGTTTCTCGCTGTAAGTGAGGATCACCACCCTTACCGCTTGGGGCCACTTTCATTGAAAGGGTGTCTACAAAGCACCTGCATATACAATGGCTATACAGGCATACAACTGGTTTGCAAAATGCAGAAGACGTGTTTGTGAATGTCGATTCCTTTCTCCCCTCCTACTGCGTGTTTTAAAGGTAAAAATAAACACAGGACTTGGAACAGAACGAATATAGGGAAGAGCTCCTAGCCTGGAATCCAAGAAAAGAGATGGTCTATGAACACCCTAAAATTATTTGCAAAATATTTTGTTTCTGTTTATTTTTCTGGGGAGAGAGTCCAGATCTGTCAAGTGAGTCTTGAAGCAGTCTATAAACACCACCACCCCCCGCCAAATTTAAGAGCAACGGCAAAGATGAGCTCCACAGTTGAAGCTTAGCAGATGGATGTAATGGTGGTGGCATTGACCTTTGATAGCATTGGGCCAACTGCTCTCCTAATTTAAGGCAAGACTGTGAATGCCAGGATTACTGTAGGGAGGAACAGTGCTTGATGTTGGGTGTGTTGGACCCCAGCCCTCTGGGCCTCCAGAGGAGGGTTTTAACCGGATTGAACTTGGCCATGATGACATTGACCCATATGGAGGGGGGATGTAGGAAGCAGCTCCTGATGCCAGCCACTGCACTATGGTCAGAATTAGGCTGAAGACCTCGCTCATGACCTCAGTGCCTGTTTGCTCTATGATTACCATGGGATAGACTTCTCTGGACTTTCTGCTGCAATTTTCCTGAGCAGCTCATTTATTTTTACCTAACAGTAACTGTGCCCTGTATGATCGATCCTTTACCCTCTTTTCATCAGCAAGCAACCAGAAAATGTTAAGGCAAATGCGTTGCTGACCCATAGCCCAGGCTATGGTTTGTGTTTTCTGTAGCAACCCCTTCTCCTCACTCCATTCGTGTCCTGGCTGCATCTGGGTGTTTATTTTCCCTTCGCTGCATGTTAAAAATACAGAACAATTTGCATTATCTTGCTGTACTGTTTACTCTTGTGTAAGCCTCCTTCAAGTTCATTTTGGAACCAGGTATGTGTAAACAATTCAATGTCCAAGAATGGCACCAAAGGGCTGCAAGCCCAACTAACTCTCCATTTTTTGGGGTAACATTCTGACTCTTACTTTTGTTTTTATCTCCCCTTTAGTCAGTTAAAGAGGATTCAGTCCCCGCAGAGGAGAATGTAAGTTGTGCATTAAATGGCAGAATCATTCCATGCTCATCTTCTGCATGCTGGACCATTCATTGGGCATTTCAGCTCTGGGGTCCCATGTTCTTGCATGCTCCAATGTCTCCCATCTGCTGTAGACTCTTTCACCCTTTTATGTGATTAGGGACCAATGGGGAATAACACTGGGTGAATATTTGTACCGCCTATTGAATCAGTGCAAACTAAACACAATATCAGAGCAAGTGTCTTTACAATTTGTTATCATTTAGGGGCTGAAAGAGTCTACCAATCATAAGAACATCCTCACACATCCTTAAGGGGCAATGATGCTGCACGCTGGGCTCCTCCATCTTGATTGCTCTTTCACCTCTATTTCCATGGCATCCCAGATTCTCTACTAACTGTGGGCGGTACCCAGGACAGGTAGTGGCATCAAGCATGAGAGCATCTTACTGCACTTGATGATGAGACTGTTGGTCTTGGGCAGGAGAGCTGACTTCTCGGATCTCCACCTGAGAAACGTAGGTTGAGCCTCGCTGTCCAAACTTTCAAGACAGTATGTTCACATCTGAAGGGGATGGCTCCATTGAGGCACCTCAAAAATGTAGTTTTCCAAAACCTCTTCCAGCGAGATTAATAAATCATCCTCATGAGTCAGCAGCTTTCCTCTCTGAAAGAAGTACAGTCTTTGGAAAATTTTGGAAGTGAGGATAAGTGAGTTCACAGCTCCTTAAGAGAGAAACTGATCATGATCACTTTGTCAAAGCAAAATATGTTTGGCTCTTTCTAGGTGTCTCTTGTTTGCTAGCCTTGGATGAGGCTTGTGTTTTCATTTTTATTTAATTGCTGGCATTGAACCGATGTTGAGAATCCAAGTACATTCCAGAAATGTTGCCTGTTATGTGGATTGAAAATTAGAATGGCTATGTTATAATTCTTGTTAGGAGAAAGATCTTTCAGCTCTGCTTTTTTGTTGTTACAAATGTTTTCTTTCCCTCCCCAATCCCTGCTCTCCCTCCCTCCTTTCTTCCTCTCTTCTTCCTCTCTTTCTTTCTTTCTTCCTTTCTTTCTTTCTTTCTTTCTTTCTTTCTTTCTTTCTTTCTTTCTT